TTTCTCAAAAATACTGTTGTTGGTTATTTGGCCTTCCGGAAGTAGATGCAATTAGGAATCATTGGTTAAGATTTATTTACAACAAAACGGCACAACCCAGATGTTCGAATTTATGCAATGCATTTTATGGACGACACTTTTATTTATTTATTTTTAACCTAGAAAGGTACAAGGCTGGCAGTGCACAAAGGCTATTTCTAAAAAAAAAAAAAAAAAGCAAAGTCGGAATTGGTCCTTTTCTTTTTATGACAATCTGGCGCTTCTGAATCAGCGACTGTAAGTATGTTTTGTTATTAGTTTAAGTATTTGCTATTGACTGTTCAAATGCGGAGTTTTGCGCAGAGGTGTGTGTGTGTGAGGGGGAACAGGGTCACATCACAGGAGAGTGAACTGTCTGTCAGAAATCATAGCACGTCAGCTGTCTTAACCATAGCTTGTGTACTGCATCATCACTGTGTCTGTCATGCGACTCTGTTGCCCTTTCGGAGTTGGTGTGTGTGTGTGTGGTGTTTTTTTTTTTTTTTTTTTTAAACTGATGGTAAAACTAAGGACATTATTAACTTGATATTTACTTTGAAAGCTTAAGTTCACGATTTATGGTAAGGGGCGTTACATTTCCGATGCATGCTTGTGGTGTTCGGCCAATCATAATGCACTGGGTCAGCTGGCCAATCAGAGCAGACTGTGCTGTCAAAGCCAAGTAGATATAACTGCAGACCAGAGATCTCCAAAATGGGGCGTGAACTTCCAAAAGTGGGCAGAACCTCCAAAATGGGGTGGGGTCTCCTCACGCAAAGACTTTCACCATTGGCTCTGGCTCCAGCCAATTGTTATTGACTTGCATTTCAAAATAAAACTTTATAAATGTAACATTGTTTCTAATTCATCTCAAATAAAATATGCTATACAAGTAAATATTCTCCGTGAGAGCAGAGCCCAAAGCTTGTGGCCAGTGGTGTTCGGACTGGAGTTTGAACATCTGCTTAATGATATAAACGGGAATCCCCCACGAGCTCTCCCGCGAGACGTCCCAGTGCAGCGCAGGGGAAAGATTTCACTATCGCTTTTTTTCTAAGCAACTGGGGCGTCCCGGGGCTCGAAATTCGCAGGGTAGGAGGGGGTAGTGACGCTGGGTGTAACTAAAAAGATGCCATTTTCACGGTTTTGTGTGTCATAGAGAAGCATAAGGTACTTTCCTGCTCCTGAAATGAATATGGGGTAGGTTTAGGGGTTAGCATTTTTAAAAAGGAAATCAACACTTTAATTGGCACAACCAATACACTCTTTAGAATCAGCTGTGGGGCGGAGTTTGCACTGAAGTGGATTGGGGGAAAAAATTGCGCATGCCTGTGTGTCAATGGGAGGAAGCCACGCCCTATTTTGGAGCTCCCACCCCGTTTTGGAGTTCCCGCCCCCATTTGGAGATCTCCAGTTATATACCCTTCTTGGCTTTGTAGAAAACGAAGTGTTTGAGAGAGGCGGGGCATAGAGGATCTACAATAATGTACAATATTTGAAAAATAATGTGTTTTTTTGAACATTAAAGCCTGTCAGCATATTCTGTTACACCAAATACACAAAATAATGATCTTTTAAAAAGCATCATATGACCCCTTTAATGTGTAACGTTTAATTCACACAAAACAGGTGTAAGTTTCATGTTAACCAAGCCATATGAAAAGAGCGAGTTTGAGAAACGAGGAAGTCTCGAGCCGTTCCTGGTATCGCTTCATCAGAGACAGATGCCCAGCATGAGGGAAACTCATGCCCTTTCTTCATCGCAAACATTCAGAACCGGTTTGAAACGTTTCGATGGGCGAGTAAACGCTCGAGTGGGATTAGGTAGGCTGCTGAATGAATCACAGATTCCACACTGAAATTACTCAAAGATCTCACAACTTTCACCAATAAGGCTATTTAAAAGTTATATAAATATTAGGCCAAATGTTTATTCTTTATTGATATGAGAAAAGGTTCTGAGATCAACATTATCGGAACGTGCTTATTAAAGTTCTCTGTTGAGATAAAACGTTCTCAGAACGTCCCAAACATTTAATTGTAGCCTACCGAACGTTCTAAGAAACGTTTTTGTTACCTTTACAACCACGATAAGAAACCTGGACATTTTAACGTTCTAAGAATATTATAATTAAACGTTCAAACGACGTTACATTTTGGGTGAAATAGAGTTATAACGTTTTTTTTTTATGTTTCAGGAACGTTCTAGTCACGACAAGAAAAGCGGACATTTCGACGTGTGCGAAGCATTTCAAAACAACGTTCCCACAATGTTTTACAACCCAAATGTGTCGCATGTAAGGTCGCCGATACAGTTCCCGTGTTTAGACACGATGGTTCAGTTAGAGCAGATGATAAACTCGATCAACATTATCGGAACGTGCTTATTAAAGTTCTCTGTTGAGATAAAACGTTCTCAGAACGTCCCAAACATTTAATTGTAGCCTACCGAACGTTCTAAGAAACGTTTTTGTTACCTTTACAACCACGATAAGAAACCTGGACATTTTAACGTTCTAAGAATATTATAATTAAACGTTCAAACGACGTTACATTTTGGGTGAAATAGAGTTATAACGTTTTTTTTTTATGTTTCAGGAACGTTCTAGTCACAAGAAAAGCGGACATTTCGACGTGTGCGAAACATTTCAAAACAACGTTCCCACAATGTTTTACAACCCAAATGTGTCGCATGTAAGGTCGCCGATACAGTTCCCGTGTTTAGACACGATGGTTCAGTTAGAGCAGATGATAAACTCACACGCACACACACACACACACAGGTTTACATTTGTGAAAAGTGGGGACTCTCCATAGGCGTAATGGTTTTTATACTGTACAGACCGTATATTCTATTGCCCTACACCAACCCTACCCCTAAACCTACCCCTCACAGGAGACTTTCTGCTATTTCAGATTTTCAATACACTCCATTCTGTGTGATTTATAAGCGTTTTGAAAAGTGGGGACATGGGGTAATGTCCTGAAAAGTCACCTTCTCCTTGTAATACCTGTCATACCTTTGTCATTATACACATTTATGTCCCAATTTGTCACAAAAACGCGCACACACACACACTCACTCACTCACACACCTGTGATGACGATCTTACCTCCACCTGCACGTAAGTTGAGGGAAACCATCCCTTGACTCCGTCCTTCTCTCCCTCCCACCAGCCTCCGTCCAGAGCTTGCGTTACTCTGATCACTTCTCCAGCCTCAAACTTCAGTCCCTGCTGATGCTGATCCCCGTTGAAGGAGTATAAGCTTCGACAAAACGAGCCTGACATCGTAAACCCCTCAGGTGGCGAATCGAATCTCCAAACGGTCTCCAAAACCGTACTCCGAATGACTTTAAGAGAGCTTAAACCGGGTCTGTCATGCTCCTGCGCGGAGTGGACTGTAATGTGAACGCTGTCAGGATCGCAGCGCATGGCCCTGGAGTGAACACACCCACTCACTCACACATCATCATCATCTTCATCTTCAGAGACAGCAGAGCTCGTTCACTGCATTGCCTCATTCCGAAAAGCCTGATCTGTGTCACTAAACATCTGTATGATCTAATACAGGAGACCACAAAGAACTGCGACAGATCAGGCAGTGAAATATGGGGATGCCCTTATTGGGACAGGTTAATATTAGAGTAGCTTTTATTATTTAATTTGAGAAAATCAAATATTGTGAATTAAGTAGGAAATATATTTTTTTGCCTATCAAGTGCATATAGGCTATATAGCTTATATTTACATCGAACATCAAAGTAACTGCATCAATTCGGTCAAGAAGAACACGCTCATTCTAGCCGCCACGGTGTTGCGCGCATATACCAGGCGTTACGGTAATAGCGCCTAAAACTCAGATCAAGGGAAAAGCGCTCTCTGGCATTCATTTATTGAGCCAGTTTCTCTGGCAATGAATGAATTAATGCATTTAAAATCATACAAATGTTTAAAAAACGGTCTGATAAAAATGAACATGACGTGTGAAAAGTGTGTCTGATTTCCCATTACAAAATAAAAACTGTGGAAACCGGGAGTTTCGTTTTTAGAGCCATCCAAATTCAAAGACAAAACTGGTCATATATGAGTTTTTGGAGGGCTTTTATTTTGTAATGCAACATCAGATCGTCCTGAAACTGGTTTAGTGACTCCCAGGGGTAGTGGACTAATAATCTGAATTGAAATTAGAGGACATTGAATTGTATTAGAGGTAAAAAAAAATGATATAAATACTGTTGGGTTTCTCGCACAAACCGATCGTTTCGTGTCTTAGGACATCAATGTGTCGTCACGAGCCACAGGGTTTAATTTGGATTTGTTTTTTACTCTCATAGATTTTGTTACCATTGTCATGCATAATACGACTGACAGACTGCAACGGTTAAAGTTAAAAATCATAATTTGTGTTCTACTGAAGAAATAAAGTCACCTACATCTTAGATGCCCTGCAGGGGGTAAGCAGATAAACATCACATTCATTTTTGGGTGAACTATCCCTTTAATAGACCATGGCTTACTTTAAATGAAGCACACTTTCTAAAAAGTATTTTTGATGTCATGGATTTTCACGGTTTTGTGTGTCATAGAGAAGCATAAGGTGCTTTCCTGCTCCTGAAATGAATATTCGGTTATCTGTTAGAAAACTTAAAATGATGAAACTAACACTTAAAGCAGCTACAGAAGTGTTGGTCTCGGTTGTCTGCTGTCTCCCTCTCGCGGTCAGATAACTGTAGGGTTATTGTGGAATGCACCATGACCTCTGAACGGCCTAAAGCGGATGTATTGTTACAGATGTGTTAGAAATGCGTAAAGAAGTATGAAATGTGTATGAAAGCCCTTTTCGGCCACAGAATTAAAAAATTTAGATTTTTTTTTTATTCCGTGTTCTTCCATAGTATTGTGTGGTGTTTAGTGCAGTTTGTGGATTACAGTATTTATTTGAACCCCCCCGCAAACGCGACATGGTACGATCCACGATCTGTCAATGGACGACAAGCTTTCGCTTTCACGCGCTAGTTATGATTACATGTCAAACCTCACTATCTATACGGTCTTTAAACCGTATGCTCGGGATTTCTAGTAAATTAATTCTCTATTTATTCAGCGGAACCGCGCACAAACCGTTCAGGAGCATAGATATGTATAGGTAGATGCCACATTGACGCGTCAGCTATTTTGGAACGGTCGGTATGTCGTCACTCATATCAAAGATCAATGAGTTTCAAAGATGCTACAATGTTGCGCAGCCTCTGGACGTAAACACCGATGAAATGTAAATTCCTGAAGAAACTAGATAAGCTTTCACAGGTAAGAATGTGTTGTTGTTGTTGTTTTTAATATATGTATTAACTGGTTTTAAACTATAGTACCTTTTTAAATGTCGTGTTAGCTATCGGCTTCATCTTGTTGTATTGTGTTAGTTTAGAAAAATCGTCTGCTGAAGTCTATTGCAGATATAGATATTAATACATGCGTATTATTAGTGTTACAGACACACAGGCCACTTGCTCTCAAGTGTTCACGGACCGGCTTTGACCATTCCAATATGGCGGAAGGCTTACAGCCGCTAAAGGTGATGATACACGGGGCAGCTTTTTGAGCAATGTTGCAACCAGGTGAGAGACAGGGCCCACGACCGATCCAAAGTATCTAGATATAAAGTTGTTGCCTATGCTCAATAGGAAAGTGCCCAAACAACATCGCTTGGCAACACCGCCCCGTGTATCACCTCATCACCTTAAAGCGGTCATATGATGCGATTTCAATTTTTCCTTTCTCTTTGGAGTGTTACAAGCTCTTGGCGCATAAAGAAGATCTGTAAAGTTGCAAAGACTAAAGTCTCAAACCCAAAGAGATATTCTTTATAAAAGTTAAGAATCAGCCACGCCTATCTAAAACAGCTCGTTCTAACACGCCCCCACATGTCTACATCACTATGTGGGAAGATTTGCATAACGCCGCCCAAATGTTCACGCAAAGAAAGAAGGCGTAACTTTTATTCTCGCTGTAGTATTGTTGCTGCCGCCATGTCGTGAAGACGCTGTGTGTTTCGTTGTGAAAGCGAAACTACTTTGTTTGGTCTTCCAAAAGAGGACGATATCTGCTTCGTCATGCCTAGAGCTGATCCGTGCTGGTCGCTGAGGAAATACATCAACTTCATGCTGTGGATCGCCGGATCGGCTTTCACCGTGGACGAAGCGGAGTCCAGCCCGGGGTCGTCACATGTGGTTGCCGCAAGCCCTCCGGACTCTTTTTTGGTCATTCTAAATTAAGCATCTGTGAGGAGAGAAATTGTGTTTGTAGCCTATGTAACCATCCATGATAATAATACCGGTTTATGAAAATTTGACAGTTTTATGGGAAGCTTGTTAATATTAAAATTACAATTAAGAAGATATTCAATACCACCTATACTTTTTTTTTTTCAAATGAATAATATCAATTTAATTTTGTCCATTTAATTGTAAATATAGTATTAGATTTTTCAAAATCAAGTACATTCTTATTCTGCATTTTTAGGAAAAACATTAAATTTTTTGTACCTGTCAAGGAGTACATGACTGTAATCAATGCCATTCCCTCAGAACTTATTAAATTGCTAGACAATTATGTAGATGAAAGAAAACAACAACAACTTAGATTTCAGTCTTAAAGGGATATTCCACCCCAAAATGAAAATTGTGTCATCAATCACTTACCTCCATGTCGTTCCAAACCCATAAAAGCTTTGTTCGCAAGCAGCTTACGGATGCGCTGTTTTCATTCTAATCAAAGCGTAAATACACGTAGAAAACGTATCCTTGTGTCGCGGCTGACACAGAAGAGCGTAAGCTGCTTGCGTTCAGTGGTTATTCTCCAAAATGGCACTACGGTGATGCGGAGAGACACAGAGGAGACGAATTGTTGAATAAAGTCGTACAAAAAGTATTCTCGTCGCTTCGTTACGGTTGAACCACTGATAGCAGATGGACTATTCTGTAGGGCTGTTGCGATAACCGCAATACCGCGCTATTGTAGAGCAAACCGCAGAGGAATGCAAGAACTGCAGCAACCGCGATTTTTGCCTGTTTTCTTTTTCCGTAAGGATATGTCCTTCTTGTTTTACACTTCATGCATGTGGACTGAATATTAAACAAGTTAGTAATGATAACATAATGTGTACAATGCTGATTTGTACAGAGGCTCCGTAGATTTGCACTTAACAAGCCTAAACAGACAGTGAATGAGAGAGAGAGATCGACTGAGCGCGTGATTACTTGCGTCTGTCCTCCAGGCCGAGTCATATATATTTGTGAAAATAGGTTGTCATGTCCAAGGAAAGCGAAATCTCTGTCTTAGCATCGACGCATGAGCCTTCTAGGTCAGCTGAGCCTTCTAAAGTGGTGCTCAAAGTTAAAATGATTTCAACAGCGTGTTTCATTAGGTCTCTTTGAATGATTGAATCAGCGTTTTTGAACGTGTAGTTGAATGACAGTCCCTTTCCACCACCTTGTGGTGCAACACTGTAACTGCACTGAATGACAGCCCGTCTAGAACGCGTGCAGGTGGAAATATTAATAGAAAGTCTCTTGTCCAGTCAGATTAGAAAATCAGATTACAACTAGGCTAACTGTTATACATATAGGCTAACGATAGCCTAACAATCTTATTGTCAGGTTTATGTTCTGTTATGTGGACCGTTATTTTGTCATTCTCTTCTGTTTACTTCACTTCCTGTTTCAACGCTATTCGGTTTCAGTTTCATTGTCTTCTGAATATGACCTCTTTAATTATATCGTAACACATACACACACAAATTATATATATATATATATGTATCTGTATGGCGATAATACCGCATACTATTGAGCCACTCAAAATTACCGCAAGGGAAATTCCCTCACCGTGACAGCCCTACTATTCTGACGATGTCTTTCATACTTTTCTGAACCTTGTGAAATTTACTTGGCAGTCAATGGGACAGTCACAAGCCTCCCGGTTTTCATCCAAAATATCTTAAATTGTGTTCCGAAGACGAATTAAGCTTTTAGGGGTTTGGACGACACGGGGGTAAGTGATTAATAACAAAATGTTCATTTTGGGGTGGAGTATCCCTTTAAGTTGGGAGGTATACATTTAAAAGACAAGGATTGTAATAATAATTATCTACGAAACCTCTCTCCGCTGTTCCTTTAGCTATAGCCTATCAATTTCAGGATGTCAACTAGAAAGACTCTTTTTGTATTACTAATAAAATTGGGGGGAGGTATCCTTCAAGATTGCTCACTAATTTTTCACTCATTTTAAAATAGAAATAGGTCACTACTTGTAATATAGCCTACATTAAAAGACACAAGAAATAACAAAGCGAAAAAAACTTAATTATTGTAAAGCATTAAATCTGTCCTTTGAATGATTTCTAATACATACAATTTCTTGATAGACTACAGATGTGTTTTCCCCCCACTTTAGGTTTTTCATTTTTTATCATTGTAGCCTATTGTTTCCCACAATTTGAGTTAATGTAATGGATACTGCCTTTCGAAGTTTAAAATGATAATTGACTTTCTATGTTCATTGTTTAAAAGATTGCAATAAAACGCATCTACCTATACATGTGTTTGATCAGGAGAACGGCGATGGAGGATCGCGCACCGCCGGTGTTCGCGTTCGGGATCATCGCGGACATACAGTACGCAGATATCGAGGACGGTTTAAATTATCTGAGAACACGCAAACGCTTCTACAGGAACAGCCTCCAGCTGCTGCGCAACGCGACGCGCCGCTGGGAAGAGCAGCGCGTCAGGTGCGTCCTTCAGCTGGGTGACATTATTGATGGGTTTAATAAAAGCAGCAGCGCTTCGGAACAGGCTCTACACACCGTTATCGGGGAGTTTGACAAGAGCTCGGCGGATGTGCATCACGTGTGGGGCAATCACGAGTTTTACAACTTCTGCAGGGAAACGCTACTCGCTTCCCCGCTCAACAGCGCGGCGAAAGCCGAAAGTGGAAGTGACCTACTAGCGAATGACATTTACGCGTACGAGTTCAGCCCCGGCCCCGGGTTTCGGTTCGTGCTGCTGGACGCGTATGACATCAGCATGATCGGGAGAGACGAGAGCAGCGAGAAACACAAGCGATCACTGAAACTCCTGCAGGAACACAACAGCAATCCTGATCTCAATCAGCCACCAGGTGCTGCAGCCAAGCCTGTGTGAGGTTCTAGTGAAAGACAATGGAACTAGAGTAGTGTATTAACTAGTGCTTAACAGATTAAAGTAAAAATAGAACAAATGAATAAAAAAAATCTGAAGAATTGTGGAAAATATAGGCTGCAGCTGAAGCATGCCGGTCCATTTCAAAGTAATTTATATAGCAAATAAATGAATTTAAGAGCAGCGAGAAACACAAGCGATCACTGAAACTCCTGCAGGAACACAACAGCAATCCTGATCTCAACCAGCCACCAGGTGCTGCAGCCAATCCTGTGTGAGGTTCTAGTGAAAGACAATGGAACTAGAGTAGTGTATTAACTAGTGCTTAACAGATTAAAGTAAAAATAGAACAAATGAATAAAAAAAATATGAAGAATTGTGGAAAATATAGGCTGCAGCTGAAGCATGCCGGTCCATTTCAAAGTAATTTATATAGCAAATAAATGAATTTACCAGCAACTTATGTATGAAAAGAAAAATGAACATTTGCTGAATATGTGCTCATCCTCCGGCCATCCAAGATGTAGATGAGTTTGTTTCTTCATCAGATTTGGAGAAATGTAGCATTCCATCACTTGCTCACCAATGGATGCTCTGCGGTGAATGGGTGCCGTCAGAATGAGAGTCCAAACAGCTGATAAGTGATATTTTGGATTACTGGAAGCATTATTATGGATTTTGGACTTTGTTTTTTACAAACATGCAGCTTTTGGCTTCGCAAGACGTAGGACTGGAGTGGTGTGGATTACTCATGGTTTATTGTGTTTTTATCATTTTATCTGTTTGGCCTCTTATTCTGACGGCACCCATTTGCTGCAGAGCATGCATTGGTGAGCAAGTGATGGAATGAATCCTGGAAAATATGTCTGAACAAGAAATGACTTGAGAAATACATTAGTGCATTATGAATCATACATGTCAGTCTTACAGAAAAACACTTGCTCACCAATGGATGCTCTGCAGTGAATGGGTGCCGTCAGAATGAGAGTCCAAACAGCTGATAAGTGATATTTTGGATTACAGGAAGCATTATTATGGATTTTGGACTTTGTTTTTTACAAACATGCAGCTTTTGGCTTCGCAAGACGTAGGACTGGAGTGGTGTGGATTACTCATGGTTTATTGTGTTTTTATCATTTGATCTGTTTGGCCTCTTATTCTGACGGCACCCATTTGCTGCAGAGCATGCATTGGTGAGCAAGTGATGGAATGAATCCTGGAAAATATGTCTGAACAAGAAATGACTTGAGAAATACATTAGTGCATTATGAATCATACATGTCAGTCTTACAGAAAAGGCTGTTTGGAGTATGTTGACATGCAATTTTATCATGTTTACTGTATATAGTAGTCATGGTGACACATTTCAGTGTGTAAACAGACGGCTAGTACTGTTGGGGGTGAATTAAAGCCAGTTAAACAGACTGGGTACAGCTTGTTTATGTGTTTTTTACAGTATTTGATGGCTTGGAACAAAGGTTTGTGAAATTTAATGGAGGATTCAGCCAAGAGCAGCTGCTGTGGCTCGATGAAGTCTTAACTCTTGCTGACCAGAAACAGGAGAGAGTAACTGTCTTTAGTAAGTATACACGCTTTTAATATCTTTATGCTTGGTCTTTTCAGGTCTTTACGGTACTTGTCAAAAGTTTGCAAAACATTGTTTAATGTTGTTAAAGTCTCTTCTGCTCACCAAGGCTACATTTATTTGATCAGCAAAATGGTGACACATTATTGCAATTTTTAAATGCGTTTGTGAAAATATTGTAAGTGTAATATATTCCTGTGATCAAAGCTGAATTTTCAGCATCATTACTCCAGTCTTCAGTGTCACATGATCTTCAGAAATCATTCTAATATGCTGATTTGCTGCTCAAGAAACATTTCTGATTATTATCAATGTTGAAAACAGTTGTGCTGCTTCATGTTTTTGTGGAAACCGTGATACATTTTTCGTGATTTACATTTTTCAGAATTCTGTGATGAATAGAAAGTTCAAAAGAACAGCATTTATTTGAAATAGAAATCTTTTGTAACACTATAAATGCCTTTACTGTCACTTTTGATCAATTTAACGGGTCCTTGGTGAATAAAAGCGTCCATGTCTTTTGAGTGATAATTTACAATGAAACAAAAATCTGAAGCAGCAAATGAAAATTAAGCTTTGATCTCAGGAATAAATTACATTTCACAATAGATTCACATAGAAAACAGTTATTTTAAATTGCAATAGCATTTCATAATTTTTACTGTATCTTTGAGTAAATAAATGCAGCCTTGGTGAGCAGAAGAGACTTAGTTAAGAACATTTAAAAATCGTAATGTTTCCAAACTTTTGACAATCACTGTATATTGTGTATTTGTGTAGGTCATCTTCCCGTTCACCCGTACGCCACAGACCCCATCTGTCTGGCGTGGAACTACGACGCCTTGCAGTCCGTGCTGCGCTCTCATAAGAGCGTGGTTTGCTTCATGGCGGGACACGATCATGATGGAGGATATTACATGGATGAGTCTGGTGTTCACCACATCACGCTGGAGGGGGTGATTGAAACGCGTCCAGACAGCAATGCCTTCGGGACGGTTTATGTCTATGAGGACCAGATGGTTCTAAAGGGCAACGGAAGGATATCAGACATGGTTCTCAAGTATCCATGAGTGGAAAGCATTTATGAACTGACAGGAGAGAAGATTATTGTCAATGAATGATGGAATGGAAAATAATAAACAAACACCCTTCCATATGATCCTCTCAATTTCTGCTTACATTTAGTGTTAAATCAGATTTTTATAAACCCTAAGATATGTTCATGTATAGCCTATAAGTAACACTATTACCAACAAAATGAACAATTCAAATGAACAACAACAAACCCTTAATAAGGTTAAGTCATCACTGACAAGATGGGATTTTAATGAAAGTTGGCTACCTACGCAAAACCGGGCCATAGCGAAGTAAAAAAAAAAAAAAATGTAAGAAAACTACAGCACCCATAATGCATTGGGCTCGATCAGATGATCCGGAAATTGGATACAAAAATGCGGAAGTAGTACGATCTGTAGTTTTTATACAAAAGTCCTGGAGTTGTCAAAAGTGATGCGTTTTATGTCAACCGACAGACGTTTGCCGACATATAAACGGGAATATCTTGGTGCAGGTGACACGTAAAAATAATACACATTGTTCGGTGACTAAAGTTGGTTGAGAGTCTGTGAACTTGCCCTTTAATATTAGAGACAAGCAACAATAAACATGAAACTCGCAATGAATACATTACCATTGTATATAGGCTATATGAAGAGGAAATTATATATATTGTTGCTATATAAATATAAAATTATATTTATAAAAGTAGCCTATATACATTTGATTGCATTATACTGTGTTTGAGTGCATAATTTCAATAATGTCAGTAGTAACGTACAGTAGTATACATTTAGTTTTCTATTTATGGTCTTGTGGATGAAATCTTAATATCATTATTACTTCTTTTATAAATATTTATATTGCAACAACAACAAAAAATAAATAAATAGGGGAATAATAGGAATGTTCAGTAATATGCAATAATTTGTATTTAATTATATCAAGATTTCCTGTACATTTAAAACTAAATGTATATGCAATTTTAGTATATAAATAACGATATAAAATGACATAGAATTTCATTATACACATACTGAATGTATATAATAAAATACATCTTTACCAATAAGAAATAAATAGCAACAACATTAAATAAAATAGTGGCAATGTGCAATAATAAAATATGCAACGAATAAAACATGCTACATTGTATACAGACATATTTAAAAGTAATTTTTCGTGTAGCCTAATATTTCATTATTTTGCCTAAATGAACATTTAATTTTGCGATTTTTGGCTGACCCTCGAGTCATGAATCCCCCTTGAGCGGGGAGTCCTCGCGCACCTGGCAACCGCAGAGCCGCCGATACTGCTAGCCGAAGCTGGCTGTCCAGTCCCGCCTTACGACTGTTTAACCCCCTCGCTTCTAAACGGAACCGAATGGGGTGCGGAAAGCCTGTCGGTTCGCTGCAGTAGTCGCGTGCGTTGAGTGTCCAGCGTGAATCCAGTGTCCGAAGGGTCAATCTGCCTCACTGCAGTGCAGCCGCTGCTGGAGTCAAACTGATCCACAATGGCGACTCCCAGTCCCAGCACCAATTCACCAGCTAGCGCTGCGGGATCCGCCTTACACACGCAACACTTAACGACAATGAGCAACATGCAGGGTAAGAGACGCACACACAGCAGCAACGTAAGTGCTTAAATCACACCCCATACTAATGAGCCGTTATTCAGTGATGCGGCTCGAACGCAGCGAAACGCGTTTAGGCCGCGCACTCCAGTGTTTACAGTGTCACATAAACGCGAAGCTCCATGCTAATGTTTCGTGAGCTGAGGCTGTAGGCCTGTGCAGTGGCTCGTGCAGCCTTTCTAGGCATCATATCCAGTGTTAATAATATATTGCACGTTACCTAATCAGATTACTTTTTTCAAGTAACTAGTAAAGTAACGCATTACTTTTTCATTTACAAGAGAATATCTGAGTTACTTTTTCAAATAAGTAACGCAAGTTACTTTTTTTTTCAGTTTATTGACTGACAGCACTCCTGTCCTCATGCTGAGAGAAATCAGAAGATGTTACTGTAGCTCTAAAATAAATATGAATATGCATTAATTCATCTCACTCATAAAAAACCCCCCACAGATTCAGTATTCCTCAAAATGAATAAAAATAATGCAACTCAGAATATGACGCAAACCTGCAATAATTAAATGTTAAACAACACAAATATGCTTTATGTATTTAATCCCATTCTATTAACCGATGTCTTTGCTTCTGAGCTTCGATGATCCAGTTCAACCGTACTAATAAGCAGAAATGCCTCTAGACAAACATACA